ACAGGATGGCTGGGGCTGGTGGACACTGTCCCACGGCCACCGAGGTAAACATGACTGGCCCTCCCCACCCTAACGGTCACCATGCAGACTCAGGGCAGGGCTCTGTCAGGGCATCCTGTGGGCGTCACCAAGAGGACAGACGGAGGATGCCACTTCCTGGTTGTCAGTGCCCCACTCGGAGACCTGGTGCGAGCCTGAAAATTTCTCCAAGTTCCCTTTTAGTTCGTCATTTCTAAAAAGCCTGGCTTTTTCTTCTAACTGAGCGAGCTTATTGGCACCTGGCCTGGGTGACATCTGTCCTTGGGAGGCAGCTTCGGGCCACAGTCAGAGTCAGCCTGGCCAGGCAAGAGTCAAGAATCCAGTGGCCAGAAACACCCTCCTCACCACCATGCAGATGTGGAGCATCCAGGACAGGGCTGCGTGTGGGGCGCTGGGGGGAAGGGCTTTCGACGAACTCCAGGGCTGTGATCTTGGTGCCATCCCCAGTGTTTCTGTCTCCCTCTGCCTTCGCAGTGGCTGGGAGCCCCAGTTCCCAAACAGTGACGCCTCCTCTGGCCTGGCACCATCCAACATTGCTGTCCAGTGGAAGCCAGAAACAGGTTTTTAAATGCTCTGCGTCCCAGCACCACACAATTAACTGCTGGATTCCATGCTTGTGTAGCAATTACCTCGCCCACGAAGCTCACGGCCTGGGGCTTTGCACTTGGTTACAAAATACAGCTTAATTCTTCATTTCATTAGCAAGTCTACAAGACAAGAGACCCCACCAAAACTGAAAACAGAGAGAGAGAGAGAGAGAGAGAGAGAGAGAGAATGTGTGTGTGTGTGTGTGTGTGTCTGTCTGTCTGTCTGTCTGTTTGTTGTACCTACATGTGTTTCCCTGCGTTCAACCACAGGATTTTTTTTTCTAGTGTCTGAAACTCCTACCTTGTTTCTACTTTTAAACTAGCTCTTGGATAGTTTATAACCAAAAGTAATAAAGTAACAAAACATCTTTTCACCTATATCATTTGAGATGGTGGACTTTTGTATGTTAACAGCCTGATTTAAGAAGTTGGTTTTTGACAAATAAATGCAAGAATGATCCTTTTCCCTGACGTCTCCCAGCTTCTCATTCTTTGCCTGATTCCTGCTGTAGCTTGATTAAGTCAGGAAGAAAGGGAAGTTAGCAATGGATGATTGCAATATCTGGCCTCTAACAAACTCCGAAGATGTCACAAGTTCCAGATCGAGCACAAAACAAAGCTCTCGCTGTGCTCAGCCCAAGAATTTCTCAGCAACAGGCCGTGGGCACCTCCTGTAAGCCCTCTTGCATCTCCCCAATCCACACACCTCCTGTTCTTTATCCGCTGTGCCATGCTGGGTGCAAATCAGCTGCAGTGCAGAGCACAGGGTTCTGTAATTTCCCACTGAACTGGAAGCCCCTCCGGGCAGGGAAGGAGTCCCGTGAGCAAGCACTGATTCCCAGCAGCCTCCCCTAGCTGTTCGCAGAATGAATAAGCAAATGATTGGTGTCTGCAACACAGCCTTTCCAGCCGACTCATTCCCTGGGGCTGGGGGCTCTTCTTGTGCCCACAAATCCAAGACTTCCTGCAGTTTCGAAAGGACTCTGCTTGCTGGGGGCCACCTCCAGCCAGTGCTGGGGCACTATGGGTCCAGTTCCTGCTGCCCATCCAGGGTGACAGGAATCTTCACAGAGGCACCGGAGCAGAAGCCCAGGGAGATGAGGCTCCTGGGTCCCACAGTGGCCCTTCCCACCAGAAGCGGGACGGGAAAGCACTAGAGGAGCCGCGGTCTCGGCATCCAGGGAGCTATCAGCATTTGCAGTTGCCCAGGCTCAGAGGTCTTGCCCTTGACAGAAACTTTTCTTAAAGGCACAGAGTGAGTTCCACTCTTTGCACAGGAGGAATAACCGGTCTCCATAAAGCTCTCTTCCTGTGGAGTCCCAGCTGGGCTCTAATGGCTTCATCCTGGCACCTCCATCCTCAGCTCTTCTGGGGCCACAGGGTGGCTCTAGGGTGACCGCTGTCAGTAGATGAGCCACAGAAGCCACGAAGGAAGAGCCAGCAGGCCCTGCCACACAGGAGCCCCACGGTGACATCATGGAGCTCTGAATCCTGGGACCTGCACCGGGGCCTGGGAGGCTTCTCGGGGGGAGAAGCGGGGTCTTTGTGCCCTAGTACCTGAGGAACCCTGAGGCCAGAGGCTTCAAGGACCTGGAAGTCCCACACTGGCCGCAGTTCGTACGTGGCCCGCATGAGAGCCTGGGTCTCGTCCCCGGCATGTCCTTTCTGTTCTCCTGACCCGGACCTGCCGCCCTGAGGGCTGAAGCAGCACCTTCGCCTTGAGTGGGATGCTTGGCCCTTATCATCTTGTCTTTTGAGTCGGGGTCTCACTACACCGCCTGGGTTCTCTCACACAGCACCGTTCCCGTCTTTCCTCCCCTCACCAACGCTTGGTTCCAGGACAGAGCGCGTCTCCGTCTAGCAGTGACAACCACGGTCTTCCAAGTGCCACCTCTCTCCGAGCCTCCTCTGCTAAGGTCTCCTCAGCTCCCTTCACAGTGACACAGTGAACAGCAGCAGGGTGGCCTTCACCAGACGCTGCAGGTCCAGCCTGGGCAGCTCCACCGCACCGCAGGTCCAGGATTCCCTTCCAGCTCCAGAGGCAGAGACGGCGGAGGACGAAAGGCCGGTCCCCCCTCCTCACTCCCGAGACCCCGGGACGTGAACTGGGCTCCTCTTTGCTCTGGGTTCTCTGCAGCAACTGCCAGCCCTGCTGCCCACAACAGAACAAGGTGGGGACATAGACGCAAGGGGCCACTGGTGGGGAGGAGGGGACAACGACACCAGAGATGCCCAGGAAGCAAAGCCTGAAGCTGGGTTGCAGCTGGGGCTCACTGAGCATTTCACACCTTCACCTTCAGAAAAGGTTAAGTAACAAAAAGGGAGTGATAGCTGTGACTCATTAGAAAAAACAAAGACAGGTGATGCATCTCTGGCTACAAGTCAACCCAGCCTGGGCTTTTACAGCAAGATAAAGCCCATGGACTGGAAACAAGACTCTCATGTGCTGATACAGTTTGTTTTTGTATGTTTTGAGTTAGGGTCTTGCTGTGTAATTCAGGCAGACCTTGAACTTACTATAGAGCGCCGTCTGGCCTTGAACTCAGAGTGATCCTCCTGTCTCGGCCTCCCCTAGTGCTGAGATGCAGGTGTTTTTGTGATTCTTCTTACAGTTGGCTAAGAATGTTGCAAACAGAACATGGAGCTCAGTACCAAGCACCACCCTGGGCACTGCCAGCAAAGGAGGCTTCCACGCAGAAGGAGGCTATGGAGAGGGCTGCTGTCCACATGAAAGGTCAGTGATAAAAAGGACGACCTTGCTGAACAACAACAAAAAACCCCAGATAGAAGGTGCGTGCACATGCGTGTGCCTTTACACAGCTGGCTTCTGTGAGGCCAACAGTGCCCGGGTCAGGACTAGGCTCAGTCCTCCCTGGCCTTATGACCCAGCCAGGTGCAGGGGTGGCATTGAGGGCAGGGTTCTCAGTGATGTTACTTGTCCTCCTCCTCCCCTCTGGAGGAAGGGCTGGTCCTCCTCCTGGAGAGAAGCCTGAGGCCATATGGAGCAGGGCTGGCAGGGTCCTTAGATTAGATTACTTCTTAAGAGCTATGATCTCAGACAGCCTCCTGGTGGGCTCCCACTAACCTGGGGAGCTGGCAGGGGTTCGGGTCTCAGGAGCAGGGAGCACTGTGCCAGACACCCGGTACACATCAGCCACATGTGGAGGAGGTGGTGGCTATGTCCATGTCACAGATGCAGAAAGCCAACATCAAAGAGCTGGTGACACCCACTGATGTGAAACTTGGTACCTAAACCCACAGGAAGATTTCCTCTGGGTTGCCTTGTTCAGTCAGGAACCAAGTATCCTACAGCCGATGCTTCCCTGAGAAACGCCACACACCCCCGTCTGTCCCTCAGGATGGAACTGGGCTCCAGGCATGGGAACCGTGGGGGCGGCACCCTGCAACGGTTTGGGACCTGCTAATAACTGTCGGGACAGGACGTACTTCTCCCAAGGGTGAAGAGAGATGGCAGGAGCACCCGAAGGTGGCCACATGGGTGGGGACAGAAGAGTCACACTGAGCCTTTGGGGGATGCAAGGAGGGAAGTGGCACATTGGTTTGTGCTTTAGCAAACCTCCCCGGGAGTGAGCAGCATGTCAGGAGGCAGGACAGAGCTCCGAAGACCATGACAACAGTCCAGAGGGTGGTGTGACTGCCACAGCGCACGGGGCTGGGGTGAGGGCAGAGGGTGTAAGGCGACAGGACTGGTGACTGGCCAGTCCCTGGGAGGGGCCAGGGGTGAGATGGGGGGGACGGGAAGAAGAAAGGTCTCCCGGATCCATGGACCCTGCTGGGCCATGCACAGAGCCTAGGCCACTGAGCGCACAGCTGGCTCCCCTGCCACGTCCAAAGTCACAGGGACAGGAAGAGAAGGACCCCACGACGCGGGCACAGATGAGTGACAGTGGAGTGCAGTCAGCTACGTTACCAAGGAAGGAAGACACTGCACACGGCACACGCAGTTAAGGTCTCCGGGCCGATTCGGACAACAGCGGGAAGAAATGAAGCCTCTGACCCCTCTCATGAGGCGAACGGCAGCGGTCTACACGTCAGCCTCCCCCAGCAGCCACCCTGTGTGGACGAGCACCCCCAGGACCCTCTGGCCCGGGGCAGCTTCCGCTCCACGCTGTGGTTTTCTGTCCCCTCCCCCGCCTTTTCCAGCAGGCAGCTCTGCCACTGGTCAGTCAGGAATGGCTGAGAAGCAAGAGTCAGGGGCCAGGGAGAGGACACTGGGGGCGAGGCGGGCAGAGGCGTCACAGCACACCCACGCGGGCACGGAAGCCGCACGAGGGAAGCACGGATCTGGCTTTGGTGACGCTTTCCTCTGCAGATCTGTGGGCAGGAAGGGTCGTGAGGACCGGAGTCGCTTACCATGTCTCAGATGTAGGCAGCTGTCAATCTGGGACCTGTACCTGCAGAAAATTGCGTCTTTAACAAACGTTTCTGAAGAGGTTTCTGCACATTCCAAACACGCAGTAGCGACATCGCGTGGGCGGGCTCATGTGCATTGCTTTTTCTGGTCCTCATGCCAGCCATTCGTACGTGTGCAGGACACAGAGTGACTTTACTTTTAATGCCCCCAAAACAGGGACTAACGTGGCACTTTGTAAATGTGTCAAATTGGTGCGTGAGAAAGAGCAGCCCTCCATGTGTGGTTTCTACTCTTAAAAACCCAAATGAGAGAAAAGACTCAGCCGGGGATAGAGGGCAGCATCCCATGTGATTATTAGAAAGAGCTGCAGGGACACGGTAAACAGAGAACAAGCCAGAGGGTGAAGGCGAAGAGAACACAAGCAGCGGGAAGAAAACAGGGAGAGAGCTGAGATCACCCGCAGCCCCCAGCAGGACTGCCAGCGGCGGGCGGCGGAGGTGCACAAGGACCTTCCTACAGCCACGGTGACAAGAAAGGTCTCCTTGGAGAGCGTCCGGAGGAGGAGCAGAGTCAAAGAACACAAGTGACAGTCACAGCTAAAGCAGCACGCAGTGGTGACAAGCATTAGGCGGAAGTGTGGGCAGTGGCCGCGAGGTCCCGTGACACCTACCTGATGCGGACTCCTGCAGCTTCTCTCTCTTCCTCTTCTTCTTCTTACCCTGGAAGGAGAGAGGGGCACGGTCAGGCTGGTGCATGGCAGGGCCCGCCCTGGGACAGACAGGATGGGAAGGGACAGGAGGGGGTGACCGCCCCCACGCGTGTCTTAAGGCCTCAGGGTGAGACTCGCAGAGACCACGTGTAATCGCTCTGTGGCCTTGGTCCTGGTGGACACTGTGCCTGCTGCTCTGTCACATAACAATGTCCCAGGGCTGTGGCCTTACAGACGGCCAGTCTCTGTTCTTACTAACATTGTATTCAGAACCATCCCTGCAGGCGTCAGGCTCGGCAGTGACACAGCCATGCTTCTGGCCAGTCCTCCTCTCCCGGGACAGAGCTGCAGCTGACCCGAGCAAGAGGCCAGCAATCCCGACAGACAGGACACCTCACAGTGGCCTCCCTAGCTTACGTCTTCTGTGATAATTGTACCAACACATCCCAAGAAACACAGCTGTCAGGAGCTCACTGCGTGGCCTGGAGGAAGCAACTATAAGACCTGGGACTCGGGGTGCAGGGCATCTTAGCAGCAAAGCACAGAGACACGCCTTTAAGGCAGGCTCATGCCCAGGAGGGCAGCTGGGCTGTTATTGCAAACTCTCGTCCTGTCCTGCTGCTTCCAGAATGGAATCTTCAGCTAAAGCGCCACTGAGGGACTGAGCCCGGCCTGCGGCCTGGTGGACAAAGACGCGAGGAACAAAGCCGAGTCTGCCTCTTATTTAAGGCACACATGAAACAATTCCTTAAAAACTATAGAGAAAACTTTAAAGGTAAACTCATGTTGCACTGGCTTTCTTTAAAACTACTTCCTCTTACTCCAGGCCCTGCAGTACACCTGAGTAATCTCGGCTCTCGGAAGGCTGAGCCAGGAGGGTTGCCTGGGCTACATGGTGAGTTCAAGGCCAGCCTAGAGTACATAGCAAGACAGCTCAGGTAGAAAAAAAAAAAAAATGAGGACTTTCTTTTTATCTCTTCAGAGGGAGAAGAGGTGAGAGAGCATGGTAGAAAAAGAATATGCATGCTTCTTTTACATCTTTTAGAAACTTAAACTCATCACTTAAGGAGGGGAGAGACATTTAAAGTCCCTACACCTTCTTGGCACAGCAGAGCTAAGCGTGGTGCGGGCAGCGGGGAAGGCAGCGCTCTCTCCTGGATGCCTGGGATGGGATTAGAAGCCACCATGGCAGCCGCATGAGGGGACTCAGCTAATCAATCTGTGCTCTGTGAGGTCTCGGGGTGAACTGTGGCTCAGCCCCCCGAAAAGGGCAGGGACATTTACCCCTGCACCCCCGGGAGGGTCAGGGCACTGCCCAGAGGGCTCAGGGCAGCGGTTAGTGTGACCAGGTCAACTGCCAGGAGGTGGGCAGGCGACGGCAGCGGGTACTCACTTCTGCCCTGGTCACAGTCACAGGCTCTCAGCTCCACCCCTGGCCTTACTCTTTCTGGAAGGGACAGTTTCATCTATACGGGTCTTCCTGGCTGGCTTTCCCAGTCCTGCATGGGCTATGAGAATTACCACAGATGGAGTGTCTGTGTCCCCCCAAATTCTAACCTTGGATGTAATGGGGTAAGTCGAGGCAGCCTCAGGGAGGTGACAAAGCAAGAAAATGCATTGGCATCACCCCACACAGAGGTCACTGCACTTGCTGTTAGACTTTTGTCTCCAGGACCGTGAGGGACACATTTCTGTGGTCTCTAAGCTCTACCTGGTACAGCAGCCTGTGTAAACTAAGAGTGCTCTTCAGAATTTTAAATTATTCTAAGAGCTCAAAGAATCAAAATTATTTTCTATAAAATGATTAGACTAGGGCTGGGGATTTCGCTCAGCAGCATAAGCACCTGCCTTGCAAGCAGGCGGTCGTGAGTTCGATTTCCGGTACCAATTAAAAGAAACAAAAAACAAAAACAAATAAAATGATTAGACTTCAAAATATTTATAATGTGCTTTCTAAGCAACAGTGCTTACCACATCAAGACAGCATTTGTAAGATGCCCAAACTACACAGCAAAGAAAACATGAAGCAGGAACAAGGTGGCTCTTGCCAGTAAAACGAAACTAGTACAAATGAAGCCTGCTCTGCCTGAAGAAGATGCACCATAGCTGCCAGGGTGCATTCATACAGAATAAACGCTGTTTACAGTTCTGATTCATCTGTGGCAAAGAAAAAACCTGAATACACTGTTTACAGGAATTGTAAAGTAATATAAGCCAATACACTATACAATCCAATATATTATATACAATATAATATAATTTGGAAAGAAATTTAATAATATGTGTCAGGAACTTTAAAATATTTATATCCTTTAATGCAACACTTCCATGGCTACCAATCCATCCTACAGGGGAAATCTGTTTGAACAGACACATTCACTGCAGGATTATTAGTAATTTTAAGGGAAGAAAATAGAAACCTTAAATATCTAAAAGAAAATAATGTTGAACTAAAGTATGACATTCACTGAAGGGCACACTGATATATAGAAACACTATGCCATAAAAGATGAATGCTTCAGATATATATATATATATATATATATATATATACATATATATATATAATTTCTTACTTTATATTATTTCTTACTATGTATATATATATATATGTATATATAATTTCATACTTTCTGCATATATTATGACACAAAATACCTGTACATATATATTTATGTCCAAGTAAAAAATAAAATTCTGGAATGTAAGGCAAGGTTACAAATACTGTCTTTACATGGTGAGATTATGGGCTTTTCTTTTGTTTTTAACTTACATTTATTTTCATGATAAAGTCTTATGTTTTGTTTCTTTCTTTTTTGGGTACTGGGGATTAAACTCACAACTACGCTCTTGCAAGGCAGGTGCTTATGCCGCTGAGCTGAATCCCTGGCCCTATGTTTTGTTTCTTAAAAAGCACTTTTATTTTTAATTGAGACAGGGTCTCACTATGCAGTTCAGGCTGCCTTCAGCTCACCCTGTAGCAGAGGCTGGTCTCTAACTCACAAGGATCCTTCTGCCTCAACCTCCCAAGTGCTGGGATTACAGGTGTGCACCACCACATCCAGCCCTAAAAGGCTTTATTTATTGTTAAAACATGCATTAGTGCCCACAGCTCTTGTGACCCAGCTCAAGGGAGACCTGAAGCCTGCACTGCAGAGTCCTGTAGTTTGCAAATGCAGGAGCTCACAGGCACGGCCCCCTGACCTGGGGGTCCTTGGTGGAAGGGACAGAGGAGGGCAGGGCGGGGTCAGATGGGAGCAGCTTACGTAATTGTCTCTCGCAGACCAGCCCGGGTACAGCTGCATGTGGAGCTGTCTCTCCTTGCGCGCTAACTCGTAGTATTTGGCCTGCTCCTCCCGGGACAGGGCATGCCACTGCAACACAAAGTGGGGAGCGCGGTGAGCGGAGGCCACCAGGCAGGGCGGTCGGCTCAGCCTTCAGGGCAGACCACTGCCTGGAGTTGGCACTTGGCCTTCTGTTTGTCTCTGAACAACAGGAGGTCAAAGAGGGTTTCTCTGTCCTGTTCTCTGACGCCTGGTGAGACTCCTCACAGCAGCAGAGTAAGGGGATCTCTCCGGCCATGTGAGCTTGGCACTGAGCTTGCCCCTGCCCCACACTGGCAGCAGACTCTGGTGGCCACGCCCAGGCACCGTTTGCTTCTGCACACTGTGGTGACTTCCAGACGTGGCCTAGGACAGCCACCCTGTCCCGGCACTGCAGCTCCGTCCTGGGATGCAGGGCCCCTGAAGTCAGCCTGTCTGTCTGGGTCTTCACTGACTCCTCCTGCTCATACACGGGGCACACGCGCACACACCCACACACACGCACAGTCTGCCAAGGCACAGTGACACTACTGTCCACATGCAGAGCACACGTCCACTTCCCTCTGTTGGAAGCCACAGGTGTGACTAAGTTGCTCTGCACATGAGCCTAAAGCCCAGCTTCTGACATGAGCAGTGTGCCCAGCACCTGCTTCTTAAGCCCTCTCTCTTTCGCAGTGGGCGTGCTTTGGTGTCACAAGAACAAGACAGTTCACACAGGTGGCACTGGGGATGTGTGAGTTAGCTACACACTGCTCTACACACATCTGCGTGTCAGGTTCCACGCAGACTCAAGTTTGTCCTGCGTCCCAATGGCTGAAGGTGCCATTCAGCCTTCCAGAACGGGCTGGATCTGGGCACCAGTGGCCACGCAGGACAGCTGAGAGGTGGAGGCGGCGGCAGGGGGCCTCAGCCTGAATCTCCGCTGCCTCTGCGGCCCCAGCTCCTGGGCGTGGGCCTCTCTGCCTGCTCCTTGCCTGGCCTGGCCCACCCTGTGACTGATCTTATTCTTGCTGATCTCGTTTCTTTACAAAGTGATTTAAAATAGGAAAAGCCAGCGTGGTGGTGCATGCCTGTAATCCCAGCACTCAGGAGGCTGAGGCAGCAGGATCGGTGCCTGGAGGGAAGCCTGGACTACATGTGAGACCCTGTCTCACCAATAAAACTGGTAGTTTTCAAAATAGGAACAAAGGGCTGCGGGTTTCGCTCAGTGGCGTAAGTGCTCATCTTGCGAGCACGTGGTCATGAGTTCGATCTCTGGTACCAAAAAAAATAAATAAAATAGGAACAGATGATGGGGGTAGGGGAAGGAAAGGGAGAAGCAGGGGAGAGGCAGATGAGGGGGGAGGCCACCCTGAATATACATGCACTTGGCCCCCACCCTGAGTGTGTGTAGGAAGCCATCCAGAAGCTCTCCGGGGGCGGCAGCAGGGCCCGGGCTCTGGTCTGACAAACAGGACTGGAAGCCGGGCAGCAGTGGCTTCCTGCACGAGCCCCCAGGAGCCAGGCCCTCTGCTTGGGCACAGCCTTTGTAAAGTGCGGAGGTGAAGCTGCCAACTGGGAGCAGGGCAGGGCTCTGTGTGAACACCAAGGCAGACCAGGCCACACGATTTGGTTGACAAAGTAAGCTGGAAGGAGGAGGCCAAAAACAGAAGCAACCTTGAGGAGAAAAAGTGCAACCCAGATCTCTGTGCTAGAAGAAGAAACAGCCCCGCACCGATGCAGCTTCAGACGGCCTGGGCAGCCAGCGTGGACTCTGAGGCAGGAAAAGCCGCCCAGCCTGCAGCCCGCCCTGTGGTCCCGAGGGCCGAGGAGCCAGGAATGCGCCGGTACCAGGCTGCCCAGCAGAGCAGGCCAGAAACACGGATCACCGGGACCCCACACTCAGCACCGGTCCCAACCAGCTGGGCAGAGGAAAAGGGAAAGAACCAGAAAGCAAGAAACCCAGAAAGAAGGCCTTGCTGAACTTTGTTTTTCACGCTCGGACACGCCCTTCCTTACATGCAGCGCCTTTCGCTACCACAGGGCCAGGATGATGCTGTGCCACCTGCGGCAGCTTTAGAACTTGCTGAGAAAACCGAGAATTGTGAATAAAATGAACTTCCACGGTGCGTGCCACGGCGAGGCCTCCTTCCTTTGTGGCCAGGCCTCCTTCAGCTAACAGGGCAGTGAGGCTGGCGGAAGAGGCCCGCTGACAAAACTGGGAAACAGACAAGGAGAAAAAGCAGGGCGCGGACTGAACTATTCCCTTGCTGTTTGGGTTTGTGTCTGGATGTCCCCCAAAGCCTCGTAGAGGCGGGCTTTTAGGAGGCAGCTGAGTCTAGCATTTGTGATGGATTTATGGTCCAAAACTGGGGTTAACGGTGTGATTGGTACACCTGCCCCGGCTGGTAGCCCCGTGTATAACACTGGACAGAAAGAGCCAGCCAATCATGGACTGAAACCTCTACCAACTGGGAGCTAAATAAACCTTTTCTCCCCTAACAGTGGGCACTGGATGTTTTGTTTCTGTAACTAAGACACTTTTGTCCCCAACTGTTTCAGTTTGCTGACGTTTCTAATGCACAAAACCTACTCACAAAAAAAAAAAAAAAATCACAGACCAGACAGAAACACTGGGGAATAAAGCCAGACTAGAAGAAGAGCCTTTCCTTAAGAGGAGTTTCCAAAATATTCTTCTGCCTCTTACTGAAAAATACAAAGTTTTCAAAACGTTAAATTTCATGATCAAAGTTTTCACCAAATTGTGGGGAGAAATGCTCACTTGAATTTTAAAAAACTGATCGAGTTCCTTCGGGCCATAAACTTGTGGCAAATGGGCTTCCTTTATGAGCCACAGAAGTCTGAAAAGTGAAAGTTAATATTAAAATAAGATGTATGTCATTTGTATTGATAGCATACATTCAGAAAGCTTTAATTCATGAAAATGAACATTTCTGTTTAGAGAGATGGTAAGGATGAATTTTTAAAAAGGATAAAATGTCCGTGATGGATTTAAGATCCACTTTTAAGAACTCTAATCATCCCAGGGTAAAACCTCAGGGTGCTGAAGCCAGGACTTTGAAGAGCTTGCGGGGCCGGCCGTGCCAGGGGGGAGTTTGAAGGGTTAGAAAACCTGACCTTAATCAAAGTGCTTCAAGGCCTATAAATAGAAGCAGGTGTCTAAATCAAAGACAGAGCAGGACGGCAAATGAGAACCATCCTGGAGGACACAGGCAGGGTCTGGGGCGGCTTAGGGAATCGAGAAAGTAGCAATTGTTGAGACCACGCACTAAATATAGGGAGCATACTCCAGCTCATACCTTACTGGCTCCCTTGAACAGGAAAGCAGTTCCTGCTGGAAGGCCGGGGGCCTCGAGCTCAAAGGAGAAAAAAGGAAAGGCACAGAGGGTTACATGAGCTGACATAAATACGTCAATCCTTCTTGTCCTCTGGTTTCTTCTTTTAAGGGAAAACGGCCAGTGGTGAGTGGGGTTTCAAGGCGGAGCTCTTCAAAGATGCTGGGCTTCATGCATCTGCTATGATCTGGCTTGGGGAATCGCTGTAATTATCGTCATTAAGTGTTTAAGAATCCGCAAGGAGATGGGGCATCAGACCCAGGACACCAAAATAGTACAATCTACTGCTGCATCCTGCACTGGGAACCCTAGCATCTGGCAAACTGGAAACCCCTGAGTTTTGCAGCTAGCCCAGATAACTGGGGGTTTCTGCCTCCAGCTGAGCACTGCCTGCTGCCTAGCACCATCTACCCTCAGAGCACGTGCTGTCCTGGGTTCAGGATGAATGGTGCAAATCACCAGGAGCTGACACGCGCAGCGGCCAGGCCCCTCAGTCGGCACACGAGAGCAGATCTGAGTTGCTTGCGAAGTGTCAGAAACACAGACTGGGTGCTCAGTGAGGGCAGGAGAGAGCAGAGGGATGGCCTCTGCAGGTGGAAAAGGGACAGAGAGGTACAGGGAGGGGACAGGGCGTGAAAAGCATGGAGCAGGGCCAGCTTCCCATGGGAGTGAGCGGTGGTGGGATCATTGTGCACTGCCAGCAGAGACTTGTGACGCTTTCTTTACATGGTAACGCAGTCATAGTGAAAGCGCCACCCCAATTAGACAGACTCTGATTTGTCTCGCCAGTCTTTAGATGCCTAAAATGGCAAAACCGTCTCAGATTCTGCCAAAAGTACAGCCCGGTCCCCTGCCCCTGGGTTGGTGTCTGTCTAGTTACATCTGGGGCCAGGGAGCGTGGGTGGAAGGGGGCAGGAGGGGCCTCGCCGTTCTGGACTGGAAGAGCCCGAGAGCCAACAGGTAGGGGGCTCTGGGATCCCTGGGGGCTTCCCTTTAAATCCTCACCACACATGGCTTCACCCCACCTGATGCCGCCTGCCCCCGGGGTTGGGCTGAGCACAGGCCCTGAGGCTTCAGCAGGGCCCCCAGGCCCACTGTTCTGCCCTGTGACCCTGCTGGAGACTCTGGGACTTTTTACAAACTCTGTATTTATTAGATAATTTGATGCCTATATCTTGCCACCAAACCTTACGCCTCAGAAAAGCAAGAACCACATCTCCATCATTACCTAACGCCACACATCATGCTTGGCACGTAAAGACACATTTATTTATAGAAGGACACAAGCCTGGTCATGGTAGTGCAGTGCTTGGGAGGCCGAAGCAGGAGGATCACTGTGAATTCGAGACCAACTAGACTACAAAGTGAGTTCAAGGCCAGCCTGAACTACACAGTGAAACCCTTCCTCAAACGAACCAAACCAAACCTAAACAAAACAGTTTCTGGTTCCAGGAAGTTCCCCATGTGTAGCGCACAGCCTTGTTCAGAGCTCTCTGCCAGGGGACCCCCCACATGGCCGGATTCTGGGCATCCCCACCCCGGGGATGCCAAGCAGCAGCTTGGCAATGCATGTGATGCCCCCTGACATGTCGCCAGCTGCGGCAGATGGGCAGGAAGCGCCCACGGCTGCTGCACCACGCGCCCGCTCCGTGCTTGTACCTACCCTCCTGCCGAGGATCTGGTTGATGGCCGCGCTCTCCTTGAGCGTGCACTCAGCCACCACGTTGGCCCTCATCTCTTTCATGTACAACATGAATGCATTCAGAGGCTTCTTAATGTGAGGTCTTTTTGGCTCCTGCTCCTTTCTCTGTTCGTGCTGAGGCTTCCTAAAAGGCAGATGGGGGTGGGGACAGATGAGGCTGAGGCAGGAGGCAGAGCGGCTGAACCCAGCCCACCTCGAGCCCCCAGGACACCGCCAACCCCCAGGACAGCTGCTGGTTTTCGGGGCAGGAAAGCCAGGCTCTGGTGACGAGGAGGCTGCTCAGGCTGCCTGCGCTCACAGTCCCCGCACCCCAGTCTGCAGGGACCCTGGGCTCTTCGTGTGGCTCTTCCTTGAATCCTCTGCTGCAGGACCACAAACTACATTTCCAAGAGGCTGTGGGGAAAACCCACTTGGCTCCTGCGTCCCAGAGACTCCCCAACACCCTTGCATTCTGGGCTGAATTCAAACCCAATTGGGCTCGATTCTCCAGCTCCCCACCCCAGTGAGGCTCCCACACCTCGCAGGCCCACAGCCCTCTGGTCTCAGGACATGGCCTTCCGGGCAGGGGACACGGGTTCCCAACCGCAGAGGCAGAAGGTGACAGGAGGTGCGACCGCTACTCACACGTGCATTAGGTCACTGTCGGTGTGGGGGTGTTCCTGCTTGACCTGAGGTGTGACGATAGCTGGGTGAGGGATGCCAGTTGTGTGGGGACCGGGAGGACCGGGAATCATGTGATGGGAAAACCTAGGGTAGGAGAGAGGAGAGCGGCGTGTGCTGCAGGCCCTGGAGGCCGGAGCCCAGTGCGAGCAGCCCACGCACCAGCGCGTTAACTACACCTTACGCGGGGCTGGGAGTTGGCTTTTCCTTTCTGTATTTAGGTGAAAAAACAGAATTATTCTCTGTAGTTTTTGTTTTCAAACTAAGAGTAGAATGTGACATTTCTCCCAGAGGGTAGGAGGTCATGGGATGATGGGGGAAAAGGGAATGGTTTTCCTTGCAAAGCAGCTTTCAAGTCAGAATGTACACAAGAGTGTGGGACCCTAAGGCATAGGGGCACATAAGGGGAAGGGCAGGAGGTGTGCGTTAGCTTCCCTGTGACCAGGCTTCCTCTCTCGGCTTCCAGGATGTCCTCTGAAGATGCAGTACTGTCTGCGAGAGCTCTACAACTATGGAAACCTGACAGCAGACTCAAGGGAGAGGTCATCGTAAAACCAGGTACACAGTCCTGCAGCGAGGTAAAAAGCTGCATCTGCTAAGGCTCTTACTGATGACACTTGTATAGCACTTTAAAGAAATAAGTTTTAAAATAGCTGCCACCAGCTTACAAGGGGCGAAAGCTGCCCCACAGGAAAAATCAACACCACGCTCTCAGCAGCAGCTCGGAGCCATGTGGCTGTGCCTCAGAGATTCCTGCCTTTCGAACTACTTTAAAGTAAGCATCAAATTCCACAAGGACAACAGTCTCAGGTCTTTCATCACTGCCCTTACCATTAATTCCTTTATTTAAGGAGGACCTCTACCTGGGTGTATAATATTCCAGAAACGAATTTCTTTAACTATGAAGGAGGCATGGTGAAACACAAAGACATGGCCGAACAAGGATGCGATGCTACATATACGATTTTCAAAAATACACGGCAGTGAAAATTCTGTCCTCTGACAGTTCTTACAGCATCAGATTAGTTCATCAAAAAGAACAGTTTGTGCTTTCATTGTTTGATCATTTTTTTAAAGCCTGAATCTTGTAACCTGAGCAACTGCTTTGGGGATAACAATACACAATGTATTAACTGGTGTTAATTTCCTAGTATTTTTTTTTTTTTGAAATTCTGTATTGTTGCTATCCTGTTTTTAAATGCACTTTAGCGGGGAGAATACTAACTCCGTTCCCTCAACCCTGCCAGCTGGACTGACGACTCACTAAGCAAGTCATACACACGTGTGTGTACACACACGCACGGGTATTTTCTTTCTTTTTCTTCTAAAGTTGGAGATTGCCGCGCAACGGGCGAGCTGCACACCCACACAGAAGGATGGGCACGGGCGGTGACCCACGCGCTGCGTCCCACGGGCCCTGGCTCCCGCTGCAGCACAGGCCGGGACCTGAGTGCACCAGGGGCGCCGCCCTCTCCGGAAGCGAAGCTTCGCGCACGGTGCCCGCGGGTTACCCGGCCTCGCCGCCCCCAGCGGGGTCTGCACACAGCCTGAGCCGCACACTCGGATACGCGCGCGCCACCACCTGGCCCTGCCCGCGGCCCGGGCCGTCCGCACACACTGCCCACTGCCACAGCTGCAGCCTGCTCAGCGGAAGCAAATCCGAGGAAGCTCAGACCCCACCGTGCGCGGCCGGCCCCTCCCACCCAGGACCACGAGTCCAGCAAGCTCCTCTTGCCACGCCCCCGCTGGGGACATCCTGGGGACCACAGATCCCCAGGAGGCGCTGCTGCCGTCCCTGCAGTGGCCCCGCGGTGACACCGAGGGTGGGAGCCAGGCACACAGCACAGACACACGCAGGCGGGGACGCGCCCTGCTGGCTGGGGCTGGAGCTGGGGCAAGCGGGGCGCGGGATGCAAGCACAAGGGCCACCCCACCTACCTGGACATGGAGGTGTCGACCGACAGGGAGGATGGGTAGGGCTGCCTGAATCCACCCGAGATGGGGTAAACAGGCTGACCTTGCCTGAGGTCACAGAAGAGAGGAGCCGTCAATGACGCCACCCAGGACCAGCCAGTGCCAGAGTGGGGGGAGCGAGGTGGCAAGGGCTCAGACAGGGGGCCTCCTCCTCCCCTTCCCGACTGCAGCTCTGAGCACCAGCAATGCCGGTCTCTGTCCCTCCCCTCTCCCAGCCCCACCAGGGTGCTGAGGAAAGGCCCTTCATAAAGGCTTCCTGAAGCCCCAGCAGCGGCCCATGGCAGCAATGCCAGCGCTCAGGAGGCTGAGGCAGGAGGACTGCCATGAGTTTGGGCCAGCCGGGGCTACATAATGAATTCAAGGTCAGCTGTCTCAAAAAGTATAAAAGCTTATGGAGTATAACGCAGCCCTGAGAGTGGCGAAATATCCCCTTTGGCTTAGTAAACTGAGGATCTTTGAGAATGTGAGAGAAGGGAGGAAAAAAGGCTATAAAATTTCACCTTTGCATAAAGGTAAGTAAACATTTCACTGCACCCTGACCCCACTCTATGCACGTGTTAGTCAAGGAGTACGAGACTAATTCAAGGGTTATTTCTCTCCACCCCAAGAAATCCGTCTTTCCCTCCGCTCTGTTTCTCCCATTTTCCATGTCCTCTATTTCCACTGCCTCAGGGGAAGGAACCTGGGCAGGGCTCGCTGCCCCAGTGACTACGTTCAGACCACCCTAAGGTCGGCACGTCACACCGACCTCGGTGGCCTGAGCTGCTAAGGATGGACAGCGAGTGTCCAGGTGGCAGACAGCGCTGACAGAGGAGGAGAGACGCTGGCTGAAGTCGTGCTGGGCCACGGGGAGAACGGAGGAGGAAGGGAGAGGCAGGGCGGGGTGTGTGTGTGTGCTGGTGACAGCTACGCGCTGGTGACAGCGGGTACGGACGGCTGCGGCAAGCCGCCCACCCCTCCTTCCCACGTTTACAAATGTGTTTGGGAATAATCAACCACTACACCAGAAAGAGGAGCAGTATCCCGGTTCTGAACAAAACAGAGGCCCCAAATCAGCACTTTGCCTCTCTGAACTGAAATGGGTCTAGTTCTTCATTATCACCTAACAGATGCGTTCACTTCATTAAACCTGAAGCTCTCTGCTCAGGTGTCAGGCACTCTTCTGTCCACTTAGAAGCAACAGTAGTTATATGATGTGCCCACATTTATGTTTCAAAAACATAAGTTGTTTTTTTTTTTAAAAAAAAGCAAGCCGCCCTAAGTGCTAAGTTTGAATAGGCAGAGCGGGTGCCCTGGGCCACAAATCCAATCCATAAAACTGTAAGCTTCAAAGCAAAGGCTACATGGTCATTTTCTACCCATATTAGCCAACGGATTCAATCCATTTCAAAGTCTGTGTTTCTTAATCTTTCAAACTGAAATGAAAGAAACTTTGAGGCTCGCTTGTGGGTGTGAAATCCCCCACCCCCACCCCACCCCACGTGGGAACACCCACGCAGCTCATTTCCAGGGGGAAAGGGAAAGCCCTGGCCGGGCTGCAGGGAGGATCTTACCAGCCAAGAGGAGGGGTGATCTGTCCCACGCCGCCAGGAGACAGCGGGTAGAAGGTGGGGATGTCAGGGGCCGGAGGGTGTCTGGACATGCCTGAGAAAGAGAACAGGGAGGCAGTGTTTGTGGCCGCAGAACATGTGAGCAGAAAGGCGAGTGGGTGCTTCACACCATGAATACGGATAGGACACACGTGCTCTCGATGACATTCCTTCCCAGACCCAGCGACAGACATCAGCCCTCAAGGTCACCTGGAAAATCAGGGCCTTGTGCAGCTCCTGGAGGAATAAACCTGCCACCAGGGAAAGAGTGGCTGGGACAGCCTGTTCAAGGGTTTACTTTGCCCTTGACCTTTGACTTGGGGGAGCAGAATGGAAGCTTGAGCCCCTTCCCGGGGCTCGAGGATGCCTGCAGCACCCCTTCCAGTCTCATAGGCATACCAATTGGGGGGCACAGCACCAGAGGAGCAGAGATTAATTAGGAATCTTCTCGGCCCCACAATGGCCACACTTGATGCGATTCATCTGGTCTCCATCTCCATCACTTCGGCTAAGCCTTTCAAAGGGTGGCATCCTCTGGGCTCCAAGGTCATGCTGACCCAGATGAGCTGTGTTCTGAAGGCAAGGAGGGGCCACCACCAGGTCCCAAAGCGCACTGCCCCGGAGCGGTAAACACCACCTAACCATCCCTCTGAATCCTCATCCCAGACCACCACCTCTGTGGGTAGCAGCTGACCCAATGTGCAAAACCAAGCAACCCCCCAAACCCTGAACAGAACAGGATGGTCTTACAAAATGTCAAACATAAACATTCAGACTTGACATGCTTGAGGGAAAATGATTCTGAAAAGTGCCACAGAAGTCACCTGTCAGTGCACCGTGGCTCTGAAAGACCACTGCCAAGCCCATGCACAGGAGGTGGATGTCCAGCCAATGGGAACCATGAGGAGCACACCCTCCTGAAGAGGCCTGGACGCCCTAACATGCTGAGAGCTTCACGCAGCTCCGAGAGGACACCGAAGGCCTGGACCATATGGGAATAACTCAAGGAAACACTGCCTTCAAAGAGGATATTAACTTGGCTTTGAAGTTTGAATAAACTGCCTCAATTCTTACGAGTAGATAAAGGAAAAAGGTCTTCCTCTCTCAACATTTTGCTGTTTTTAAAATAATGGTCTCAAATCCCCTTTTAAATTTTTTTTTCTTTTGCTAGAAACACTGAATCTTTGGATGCCAGTAGACCCCAAGTTCTACACCTAGGGGTTTTTTTCTGGGCTCTGGAAAAGTTGCAGGGGCCTGTGGGCGGAACCTGTTCAAGTCTCAGGTGGTGGGGGAGGTTGCTTGCTGTTGCGTTTTTTCTTTTTAACCTGATGCCTCACTCATGCTGGGATTCAGAAACCTCCAAATGTCGGGGTGCTATGGGGTTTGAAACAAAAACAGAAAGCATACAAGCAGACCGTCTCAGGGAGGCAGCAGAGGCTGCACAGTCATTATTATTATAGGAATGTGAAAATACATCTGGGAGTCAGATGCCCTGAAGATCTGTTTAATCCCTGTGTTAAAGTAAGGTCTCGGGGCTCCAGTGACATGGAGGCATCTTTTTGGGTACATATGAAGCAGTTTTGTCCTGGGGCACAGAGAGACGACCACTTGTGGCTGTCCATACTCCTCTCCGTTGTACGCCACCGTGCTGGCCACAAGTCCATGGCCCACAGCTGCCCCCAGTGGGACTTGGCTTTTCTGCCAGGGGAGGAGGGAAGCAGCTTCGCTGCACGCCGTGTCCTGGTCTGCAGTCACCTGTGGCCTCTGGTATCCTGCTTGCTTTTCAAAGGCCCCTGTCCGGCGCGCTTCTCTCTCACTTTCAGAGCGCTGAGAAATCCATGTCTCCGTGGAGTTTTCACCTACTCATCTGCATCTGCACCTGTAATACGGGTCTGGGTGTCTGACATCCATTCTCCCATCATTTGTGCAAATGACTCCTTTCTTGCAGAGTGCAGGGAGAAAAGACTGCACTCCCCCCACCTGTCAAATGCTGGCTGTCTCCAAAGAGGTTCTTGGTAAACATTTCTAAAATACTTAAAATACCCACTCCTAGGCTGGGCAATAAAGTCACCCATTCTGCATGCACATATGACTGCTTAGGTCCTTGTATGAGCAAAACATGAAGCTCCCGAACGGCTCGTGACCCTTTGCTTTCCTGTGTCCAAGGGTGTCCGCTCCTCTCTGCTGGTGCTGGGTCCCCAAGGTACATCCACATCACCTGCTGGACTCGCATGTGTCAAGCAGTGACCATACGTAGCACAGCTTGAAAGATTTTTAAACTCTTCAAAGTAAGCTGTGAGTGTCAGTAAAATAATCCTGGAATCAGACCGAGTGAATTTCCTCCTCACCGGCTCTGGGCCTTTGAAGAAGGGCTGTGTTCACTGTCGCTGCTTGGCAGCATCTGAACAGTAACAGGTTGTCCAAAGTGTATGGGATGCATAAAAGCATGAGGCACAGAGCGTGAGTGTTTTTGTTTCTAAGGATAAAATAGGTCAGACAAAGATGGAGCCAGTATTTAATAACGGGACTGACAGTGAGCAGAAAAATGTCACTGGCATTAGCTTCCTTTTTCTTCCCTACACACACGTGGGTATGTACGAAACTCACACGGGAATTAGCTGGAGGTCACTCTAGTTTTGCACCCAGGAGAGTCAGTCCCAAGGACTAACGGCTGGTGCCTGTGGCCTGGTCCTCAGGACATCGGACTCAGCTGTGCTCATGCTTTCTGGGAGAGCTGACCAGACTACTGGGCCTGCATCTCGGCCCCATGTGGCTCTACCTGGCTGCGGACAAGCCCGCCCAAAAGGCCAGCAGCAGCACAGCGAGCAAGCCCGCAAGCTTGGATTCTGACATCAGGAGTGCTCCAGAGGAATCTCTGTAAACTCAGATCACGTCCCCAGAGGTGCTGGATGGTAAAGTACTGGGTGGTCAAAAACACAGTGGATGTTGAAATTTTAAACAATTATTATAGTAAAAAACGAATGCTCCTCTCAGTTCCCCATCTCACGTCTCACGTAGCCCATCGCACTTGCCACTTTCTGACAGTTTTTTTCTTCAGTGTTTTCACAAGGTGATCAAAGGTCTGGTGGCTGCAGCCGCTGCCGCCGTCCAGCCGAAAGGCAGGTTCACTAAAAGGCCGTGTCCTGACCCACCTTGTTCACCGATCAGGCACCGAGTGACTGCCGGCTCCTCTGCCAAAGTCAGGATGACCACGAAACGGAGATGTTTCGAATGGATTCAGGATACAGAAGCAGGCCAGATGGCACAACTAAAGACACTCAGGAAAGTGGATTCCAGAGCTGCTGCAGAACACGGCAGGACCCATGGGAAGTGTGTGGGAAGCCAGGCTGGGGGTCCTGAGGGGCATTCACAGCAGTGTGTCTTACTGTGATACAGCTTTCTTGTGTGGACACACTGCTTTTCCCCCTCACACCTCGTACACAAATCTCAAGACAAATCTGTAATTTAGGACAAGATCTTTGCAGCACAGATAGTATGCAGAAGACACAAACACAAAAATTTGTTACCAAAATGAGACTAAAGGGACAGCAGGCGGACCAATGCTGGCCATGCCTCTAGTCCCTTGTACTTCTGCAGTTTGTTAAAAAAAAAAAAAAAGTTTGAAAAGCAATGATTTAAATGACAATTTGGTAAAAGAAATTAGGAAACCAGTTGGGATGGAAACAGGAAACATAAATGTGATTGTTAATTAGCTATAAATTTCTCTCTTTTTAAAAGGGAAGTAAGCCTAGAATTCTCCAGAGAGCAGCTACTGAACCACGAAGAGTTATTCTTTTGAGTAAGTGCTTCTAACGGGGCCTACGATGCAGTAAGGACTATTTGTTAAATAAACAAATGAGTCTTTAAATACTGCTGGACTCTTCACCGCAAGTTTAGGGTTTGTGTCTGTCACCCACGACTTCCTGTTCCAGATGGAACCCTGTCTCTGACACCCAAACTCACTTCCCTTCTTGGCACAGCCCTCTCCCAGGGGCACAGCCATAGACCTGATGGAAACCTGGAGATGTCGGCGGGTAAGTCTTGTCTGCACTGGGGAAGGGTCCTCGGGAACCACTCGGGTTCCAGTGCAGCAGTAACTAAGCCTGAAGGAAGGGTTCGCATCAACAGCAAAGCAGCTCAAGGTGCTCACTGTTTCATCCAGGAGGGGGCCGTCCTGAGGATACTGTTTGTTTTGTGTGTGTGACGGGGTCTCACTATGTAGCCCAGGTTGGCCTTAAACTCACTGTGGTTCTCCTGCCTCAGCCTCCTGCGTGCTGGGTTCCAGGGCTGAACACTTGTTTTCACACGTTCCTTAGATGCTGCTGTGTAATACACACCCAGCTGGACATGAGAGTGAAACCCAGGCAGAGGCAGACACTACCCCTCGGCACCCCCTGCTTCCCACAGGCTGTGCAGGGCCTCGGAGCACCCTGTGAAGTCCAAGTGTGTGGTCCTGATGACAAGCTGTCCTGGAAGTAGCCCTGGAGACTGGGGCCAGAGGTGGGGACACCAGAGCGCTTCGTCCTCCTCCCAGCCCAACCGGGTGCACTGTGCAGGCCTGGACAGGTAGCGTCGCAGGCCGAGCTTCACTTACGTGCTTCTTTCTCACAGGAAGCGGAGTGCAGCTTGCGATTCCCATAAAGGAGCCAAAGCAATCTGCACTGCTTTGACTTCCACAGAGATAGTTCCGTGCTTAATAATTTAAAATGATGCTGCTATATAGCAAGAAGAGGGTGACACGCAGCAGGAATAGAAGTGAATAACCGAAGACCTGCGAGAGGCTCAAAGGCGACATATCCGCAGTCACGCACGGTCTGCTACTCGGCCCTTTCTACTGTGTATCTATGAAAACATCACCATAAGGCTTTGCACACTCATGCCCCTCATCCAAGGTTCTTCTAAGAGAATTGAGTGGAAAATTCCAGAAGGAAGCACTTCGGTAAGTGTTAAAGTGAGCACTGATCTGGTGGACTCCGTACTGCCCCATTCTGCCCCCGAGACGTAACTGGCCCTTGTGGGCCCGTCTGCAGCTGCTGGGGCTCTGAGTGGTGGACAGGGTGATCACACCGGCTGCCCTCCCTGTGACACTGCCACGCCTGCTTTACTTGTAAACAGCGCCGAAGACGAACCAAGTTACGTGCACAATTCAGACATGCCAAGGTGAAGCCACGGCACGCGTCCTCCAAGTGGAAAGGCGAAAGGGCAGGCTTAGTGAGGAAGGACAGAACAGGATGGCGATGCCGCCAAGACCTACACCGAGAGAAACTCGCTGGTGAAATTCGAATTGTGCTGCGTTTGCAGTCCTGCTACAGACTGCAGAAAAGCCACAGTCGCAGCTCACGTAATGGCCTGGTCAGGACGGAACTGTGTCACCGTGTGGGCTGTCGCCATCCACTGCTTCTGGCACTCAGGGGCCAGGGACAGGTCCCCAAGGGTGGGGACAGGGACACAGCTGGGCCCTTGAGGGTGGCACTGCTGTCCTGCTGAAGGACACTTCAGAGCACTGGACTGCTTGCTTGCATGAACAATGCCCTAGTTTATACTGGGAGGCACAGATTTCCAGAGTTGTCACTTGGAAAATTACCCTTGCCGGGGCTGGGGATTTAGCTCAGCGGCATAAGCGCCTGCCTTGCAAGCAGGCAGTTGTGAGTTTGATCCCTGGTACCGATAAAAAAGAAAAAGACAAAAAAAAAAAAAAAAAAAAGAAAATTACCCTTGTGCTCTTCCTTATTTTCAATCCTAAAAAAGAAGCAACAACAAACTTTCCTGGGGTTGTACAACACCGCTAGCCGGTGAGCTTTCTGGGGCTTGCACAGCCCCTGCCTTTCGGTCCAGGCCATGACCGGAGTGGAGACGCCGAGGGTCCCGACGCTCGGGCCGTGGGCCAGTGGTGCTCACCCTGCTTGGAGTTGACATCGGACCGGATGTGTGGCGGGTGCGACCCCGGGGAGAAGTGCTCGTCGCTGTAGGTGATGAGGGGCGTGAGGGGGTGCACTGCATGGGAAGGCTGCACCACGGGCACTTTGTTGGACTGCAAAAAAAAAAAAACCACAATAGCACAGTTAGTGGGGTGCCCGACTCCTGTCTTCCCTGCCCCTCAGTGTCACCCGAGAGCACAATCAGTCAGCAATGGCAGCAAAACCCAGAACCACTCCACCCTGTGTGATGGAGCTGTCCCACGGAGGCCCCTGCACGGTGCCTCGGCAAATCTGCCCAAGTCCACAGATGTCCACCAGAAGGACCTGGCTACGTCCCCAGGCCTGAGAGATTGAGGTCAGTCACCCAGGTCCCCCCAGGTTCTGTGATGGGCTGTCCATGGTACCCATGTTTGTTCCCAGCAAGTTTCATTACCTCACTGCGAGGTCTGAGCTCAGCAACGTTTTCTAGACACCAAGGTCATTTCTTTGACTTCATCGACCTACGATCTATGATCATTCTAATTGCACCCAAGACTGAAGTCCAACTCAGTAAATGTGACTCAGTCACTAAACAGGGAGGCCGTTTTACAGAAACTCTACCTATTACGATGCTGCATTTTTGAACAATGCTATGACAGTGGCTATCAAATGTTCTCACCACGAAAAGTAACTTTGCCATTCAGGCAGATTCTACTCTCCCCCAATGTAAAGGTACTGCGAAAAAGTCACATTACACCTGAGAAATACACTTTTATCTGTTTAAGAACAATAAAGAAGAAAAAGGAATTCTACCCTTCCCTCAAAGAACAGAGACCAAACACAATGATATGCAGGTAAAGGCCGGCTCTGATGTTAAGCCCAACTACTAATTACAGCAGTCTCCAGAAGGTCTCTTTTGGAGGCACTTCAGTAACGAGTACGAGGGTTCAGGAGGAACAGACTAGAAAGAGTTCACTGGTTGGGGCATGCCTGCGCCACAATCACCTCGAATTAGAGACTGAACCTCCTGAGGGCCACACTCTGGGCACAGCTGGATCTGACAGCAGCTTCTCCAGCAAATATTCATAGTATTATTATTATTATTATTATTTTAGAAAGAACAGTGCCGCAACCACTATACAACTTGGACTGGTTAAACTCGATCAGTACACACTAATTCTGTCTTTTTTTTTTAATTTTAAAGAAAATAAAACCTAACAAAATAAAACAGAATAAAGCCAGTCAAAACAAAACAGTGACAGTGGAACAGAACTGCAAAACAGGATAAAAGGAAATCTACAGTGGCTCCCATAATGCCCCTTTTCATCTTCACGGTAGTTATCCATGCCATCAGAAATAGTAAAATCAAGGAAAACAAAACAGAATAAAAACCACTCAAAACAGAGCATTAAGTAAAACAAAACAATAAATCAGAACAAAGCAAAATAGTGAGAGCATATTGGATTTCAAAAACAAGTCAGAAGGAAACCCCGTATTTGCTATATTGCATACCGTCATCCTCCCGATAGATGCTCAGACCTCTGGTCTTAGTCCTGCAAAGTTAACCAGACAGTACAAGCACCGTGTTCCTTTTGCACCTCGGTTGCTATCCACTCAGCCTGTCCTCTGAGTCAGCCCGCTGCTTCCGGGCGGGGTGGGGGTCCTGATTCTCAGCCTGGCGCCTGTCGGCTCACAGGAAGGTGACCCGGCTTCTCGCTGGACTCCTCCCAGACCCAGCATGGCTTCTCAGTGTCTTTTACAAATCACATGTTGAAGCCTGCAGCTCCAAGGCCTGCTGTCAGGAAAGCTAGGAGCCGATATCCCAGTAGCTCTTGGCACTCTCTGCCCCCGTCACCAACACCTCCACCCAAAGACTGACTTGCGGGGTGGGGGGGTCTCTTTGGACAATGGCATAATTTCCATTCTAGATTTTCTTTACTTTGTAATTATCAGCTTCTGTCCAATGGCCAAACTTGTATAACGCACAGAGCTCTTGGCATTTGAGCACCATTATCAAAAAAAAAGTTTTTCTCCACACACCTCAGCACATTCGTGCATAAAAATGTGTATAATGTTCAAAAAAACTTTTAGTCCTTCTGCAGTGTGAGCGATGCAGTTTGCCAAATGCAGAGAGCAGGGCCCTGAAATACAAGGTATGTGAGGCTTGAGGAGTGGGGCGGATTGGGCAGGGAAGGAAGGCTGTGAGTATGCGTCCTTTTAAAAACAGGAAAGAAGCGTAAGCCCCAAATGCTGAAACGGACGCCTTGACTCTAGAAAGGCTACTCTGGCTTTTATTTTGAATCTCAAAAGAAGCACAATTGCCAAATCATCTACAAAGGTATTTTCTAGGGGTGTTTACAGGTAAGCCTGGCAGAAACCTCTGGGGACTCTCCACGCGCACCCCGCCTTCCGCGTGGCTTCCTGGGTCCCCAGCACCACCTCCAGGAACCCGAAGTAGCAGGCAGCATCTTAATGTCCGACCTCTCCCTGCAGCCATGCAGCTGCCAAGCTGATGCCTTGAATTTTTGCTAAATTATGCTATCCTTGCTCTCCTCTTAATTTTACGGTTTTCAACACAGATTTGCTTTCCTGTGGGAAGGAGATAAGAAGCTGAGGATTTTAATTTAAGCTCTGGCCTTGTCTTATATTTTGCAAGATGGGGAGCGAGAGCAGTACTAGCAGGTGTGTTAAAGCCAACAAGTATTACGTCCATTTCGGCGGCCAAATAATAAAAGTAATGTGAAATCTCAATAATAAGTGTGAGCGGAATTCCAAGGGTCTTATTTTTGCCTCCTGTGGACCGTCTGCACCACGAGTACACATGGAACAAAGCGGATTCCAACCCCGCAGCAGATACCTGACACGGTGCCACAGAGGCAAAGGTCCCCAGCCCTACACGGTGTCCTTTGATGTCACTCCACTTGCACACAAAGCTGAGCTCTGCCTCCTCGCTGGAGTCTCACATGGCCACTCCGAATCCCACTCCCCCAGTCTCCAGCAACAGCATGATGCATTTTCCGGTAGGCAAACACCAGAGGGGTGAGGGGAGGAAAGCTCAACCTGTCGCCTCGGTCTCTGTGGACAAACAAACGTGTGGACCGGGCTGGTGATGCACAGTGACACACACAGGTGTGTCCGCACCCATGCATGTATGAAGCACTGCGGTGTCCCAAGCACTTCTGCAGCACCCACGACACACACAGGGCCATGGTCCCTGCTCTCCTGCAGCTCGCTTCCCAGGTTTCGGGGGCTGGGACAGGCAGCAGGGGCCGCGTGATGGGTCCAGCAGTATGTTTTAAAAGCAAGAAAAGCAAGCAGCGAGGAGTGTGAAGAAAGTGAACAGGTTGACGGGGGCTGTGCACCTCTGAACCAGCGAAGCCGGACGTGGACAGGCCAGCGGGTCCAGCTGCTGTCTAAGGAAGCCTCCACGCATAGGTCCCCAAGAAGGGGTGCTGAAGACAGGGCCCCGGCAGCACACAGCACAGCACGGCTCTGCCCGGTCCCCACCCCCGTGACACAGGGGCGCTGGTGACGCCATGGAAACAGAGCCCTGGGCCTCTTGGTTCACTCTCACTGCCACTTAGGGGAGGAGAAAGTCAGCCCGGGGCTCTGATGGCACTGGGTGCCAGACACCCAGAGTCCCACTTCCTGCAGCCCGGTCTCCTGAGCCCTCCCCAGACAGGAAGGGCGGGCACAGCGGGGTTTCAGCAACCATCACCGCAGACACCACTGACCCAGGCAGCGCTGCTGGGTGCTTGGTCTCCATCCTTGCAACACCTGTGGGGTGGGTTAGTGTCACCATCTCCCGCAAAGGTGGGGTAGGGGCTAGACTGGGACAAGCGAGGTGACTTCCCCTGGGCGTGGAGGTGAGGCCTGGCTCCCCAGCACGGAGGCCAAGTCTGCAGCCAGCACAGCCAGGTTTGTGTGGTCCTGGACACGGAGCTGACTACCTGGACTGTCCCCAAAGGCATGTGACGTCTGTAAAACACTGTGTGGTCTCTGTCCTGACACAGGGATCACAGTGGACAAAGGAGGACCTCAGTGTGATGGTCAGAGCCTCGGAGAGTCCACACTGCCATTCTCCAGGGTGAGGCCATTCTGGGAAGGCCCTGCAGGTGACAGCCTCTCTGGCACCACAGCTGATAAAACCCTGTGGACAACACCAAGCGGGTGCCACTTAGAGGCCTGAGAGCCACGCCCAGGGCAGCTTTCCCAGAAACAACCTACATGCCGTTGGCAGGAGCTCAAGGTGTCAGCCCTGGAGGATGTGGTTCTGGGCAGGGCGGAGAGCAGCTCTCTCCCCTGCTGAGAAGGGGTCTCAGAGCCACCACCCCAGGGTCCCACAGCCCCACAGCCCCACAGCCCAACTGCCACCCCAGCCAAAGCGTGGGCCCTTCCCTGCAGAGAGGCCCCAGGTCCACGCCAGCTGGCTGGGCATCTATTTCATATGCGGACTCCTCGTAACTGCTGAGCAGAGCTGGGATGGGGGTGATTCCATCTTGCTGTGCCCCTTCCAGTGGCCCCAGATTTCTCTCACTGGACTCTGGAGACCCCCAGCACTCGTGAAGCAGAGCTATGCGTCACTCCAGCCAGGTCAGCTTCCCGAGCCCTGCACACCCACGTGGATGCACTGATTGTCACCCCAGCTCACCTCAAAGTCTGTGCCCAGCCAAGCCACGGGCCTGGGGCAGGCCCCAATGGCTTTCAATCATGAGGGCTTCCCTCATGCAATTCAGGTGACTGGGGACACTTGAGGTGCTTCCTCCTAGCTCTGAGGGACGAGGCTGTGGGTGAAGGGGTCTGACACAGTCACGGGGTGCTGGGGGGCAGGTTCTCGTCAGGTAGGGACAGTCGTGCTGTTCCTCCCACCCACACAGTGTGACTCCACTTCCCTCCACTGTCCTGAGCCATCCTGCTCGGCGAGCGCAGCCAGCTGTGGCTCCACTGCCCAGGGGCGCCCAGCCATCCAGAGACTGCTGTACCACCAAAGACCCCAGGGAGGCCACTGGTGAGGCTGCTTCAGAACAAAGCAAGCCGAACCACCTGTCCCATCCACTGTTTTTTCCCCCATCCACTCTTGAAGGACATGACGGTGAATCTACACTTCAACGCCAGCCCCACTTAGGTATCACAA